ATCAATATGTTGTTTTACAAAAAAAGACATATATTAGTGAATTACATAAATTTTAAAAAAAAATTAATCAAAATGAACTATAAGAAAAATATAAGACTTACCCCCCATGAAAATAGCCTTTGTCTTCAACCCCTAATAATACATCCCACCAAGACCGATCAATCAACAAATGCATATCATCGTTGAGTTTGTATATGTCAGCGTAACACCCCTGGCTCCGCTCATGTAGATAAAAATCAACTGCGGTCTTAGCCCAAAGGGTATTATCCAGAATTGTTTCCGGTAGTTTTCTCCTCTCCACTTCATCTGCCGGAATGGTACTGGCCGGTAACTCATACGAAAGCCAACAGTCATCCATCATGTCCGGCACGTGAGAGGGTTTCTCAATAATTTGACATATTACGCCGTGTGAATTGAGCTCTTGAATGGTGGGAGAGACCTCTTCAACGATGACAAGGGCCTCTTGAACAGTGGGAGGGGACTCTTGAGGGATGATAGGGGCCTCTTGAACGATAGGAGAGGCCTCTTGAACGATGACAGGTGAGTCGGGCTTCTTCTTACGGAGTCTTTGCACTATTGGGATGAACGGAGACGTAATGGCACGTGCATGCCGTCTGATGCGTGAACCCCGTCGTGCAAGAAAAACCCGACGTAAAACATCCACCTTATCGGGCCGCTAAAAATAAATTAATACATAAATCAGTAAATAAACAGACATGATATTAAACAGTGAAAACAAAGACAAATATGTTTCAAACTTGCACGGTATTCACCCAAGTCATTATTCTATCATAGTTCACAAAATGCATCAGATAACATTCTAGAAGTAAGCACTTATATAAACATTTAAAAGGATAACATATAGGTTTAGTGCATGTTTAAGGACAACATAAAGAGTAGTAGTTTATTCTTGAAACTTAAAATTTGCAATACTGTGAAGTTAGTATTTGTCTTTGTCTTTTGGTTGAAGTAATGCAATCCATTCAAGTTTCAATTTGCAGAAGAAGAATAGTTTCTGAAACTTAAAATCGCAACACGAAACTTAAAATCGCAACGCGAAAATGACTATCGCAACAAGATAATCGCAATGTGAAATAAAAATCACAACGCGAAACTAAATTCGCGTTGCGATTTTCATTTTCGCATTGCAATTTTCACGTTGCGATTTTTATTTCGCATTGCGATAGTCAAATCCGCGTTGCGATAGTCATTTTCGCATTGCGATTTTAAGTTTCGTGTTGCGACTATTCTTCTTCTGCAAATTGAAACTTGAATGAATTGCATTACTTCAACCAAAAGACAAAACAAAGACAAACACTAACTTCACAGGGTTATTTTAGAACTGTTTAGCAGTATTGGCAGCAACCGAATGAATTTACTAAGCAATATAAGTGAAATGGTTAATCTAAGTGAAATTACGAGTAAATCAAGTTAAATATGAAAAATATTAAACTTACCTCGTTACGTAGAGTATGAACCACATTCTGCAACGATGCTACCATCTCACGTAGAGCCGCTACCTCACCACGTAAAGTAGATACCTCATCACGCCATGCACCATTGTCATCGCGTAAAGTACCGACCTCCTCACGTAAGGCATTGACCTCATCAAGTAATTCCCCTAACTCATCCCGTGGAGGTGGAGAACAGGGAGATAAATTTCGTGGCATCTTTGCTGGTCGCCTATCATGAGGTGATGGTGGAGAAGAGGCTCGATAATGTGACGGAATAGGTAATGGCTCTCGTTGTAGAGGTGTATAGTGTGGTCGATCAGGTGATGGCTCTGGTTGAGGTGATGGCTCTCAAAGTGGAGGCTGCTCATCATCCGTTCCATCAAAAAAATGCTTACTAGCTTGCCACCAATTAGTGGCAAGCTCAGCCTCCGTGGGTATCAGCCTCTGTAATGGAGTGTTGGCCTCCTAACAATATAAAAGCTCAAACAAAGTTAAACATATACTGGTAATAACTTGTTTATATATGGTAGTATTTGTGTTAACTTACATCATTTATTGTCGTATACAGTAGTAACTCTTCCCAAATCAACAGCCGCCGTTTCCTCTTCCAGGAAATAGCCCTAGGAATATCATTTGAAGTTTTTAATGCAAATGTCTGCATGTCGGGAAAAACCTCAAATATTCAAATCTACAAACAATATAATACACAAACATTAGTAATTGTTAAATAATTAATTACAATATTGGAAACATTATATAGAAAATCTTACCTTAAAGGCCCAAATAAAGCCTGACAAAGTGTATTTGGAACCATCACCACGCAAACTTTTGCGGTCATCAAAGGCAGACGACAACTTATTCCAGGTAGCTTTCCATAGATACGAACCCCACGGAAACAGGTTCTATGCATTTAGGTCCTCTACCAATAATATTAGGTCCTTAGGAATAGGTTATCTGGCCTTTCTGCCTAAAAAGCCGGCATGCAAAAGTACTAAAAGGCATACTCGGATAACATCGACGTCATCCATCTGAGGAAAACCATCTTTCTTATTAAATAATCACGTCAAGTCATCGACGTGTAAATTCAGCTTCTCCATTGACAACTCAGGAAAAACCCGGGATAACCATGATGGACGGGTAATATGACTAGTGTATCGACCTACATCACCGTGTCCGAAGCGTATACCAGTGATTAAACAAAACTCCTCCCGCCCAAAACACGTATACGCCAGTGGAAAATGAAACCATATCTCTTCATTACCACGTTTTATACTCTCGGGTAGATCGCTAGTCATGGTCTGAAGCCACAAATGGGTCAACATAGCATCTCCACCCAGATGTTGTACTTTCAGCCATGGCCCGAAGCAAGTATCCTCAAACAATTTTCTTTGTACAAGTGAAAGCTTCGACGCAATTATAGTGACTAGACTTATTTTATTCCTTAAGGTCAATTGAGCCGAAAAAAGTTCTACAAAAATAATAAACATACCAAGTTAGATATACCAAAAACTACATTGTGAAGATATACCAAAAACAATAATAAACATAAAGAGTAGTAGTAGTTTATTCTTCAAACTTAAATTTGCAACACTGTGAATTTCGTATTTGTCTTTGTTTTTTGGTTGAAGTAATGAAATTCATTCAAGTTTCAATTTGCAGAAGAAGAATAGTTTCTGAAACTTAAAATCCCAACACGAAAATGAAAATCGCAACACGAAAATGACTATCGCAACGCGAATTTGACTATCGCAACGAGATAATCGCAATGCGAAACTAAAATCGCGTTGCGATTTTGTCGTTGCGATTTTCATTTCGCGTTGCGATCCTCGGTTTCAAATAGTCATTGTCTAAAATTGAAACTTGAATGAATTGCATTACTTCAACCAAAAGACAAAACAAAGACAAATACTAACTTCGCAGGGTTAAAGACTATACAATTTAGCAGTATTGACAGCAATCGAATGAATTTAATAAGCAATCTAAGTAAAATGGTTAATCTATTATTGAAATTACCAGTAAACTTATCATCAATTTCAATATGAAAAACCTAATAATAATGCAAAAATTTCAAAATAAAAATAATTAAAAAAAATTAACCCTCGGTAGTTGATTTGGTTGATTTTCCATTTCTGATCGTGAATGATTGTGAGGGTGGCTCTGAGAGATGGAGATAGACGAATTTCGCCGGAGATGGGGACAGATTTCGGCGGAGATGGGGACGGATGTTGCCGTAGAGAGTGAGAGATGGAGATGAGGCTGAGTTATGATTTAGGGTTTTAGGTTAAGAGTTGCGATTACGGGATATATTAATATTCGTGTTTGGAATTTGAAAATAAAATACGCGTTGCGATACTAATGGCGCTTTGAAAATCGCATTGCGATTTTGTATTATCGTAACGCGATAGTCAGAATCGCGTTGCGATTATATATTATCGCGTTGCGATAGTCAAAACCGCGTTGCGAATCTGGAAACTGATTTGCGATACTGGAGATCGCATTGCGATTTTGTTGGTCATTTTGGCAAATCGAAAAAAAGTTGGTCAAAATCGTATATTATAAGGAATTTTCGGTCACTGAGGTTATTTTTTCTTTTATTAATTTAATTTTATATGATTTTAAATATGTGATCAAATAATACAGAATTGTTAATCACTTTAATCATAATAACTGATGATATTAGTAATTTAGATGAAATAATAATACTATAAAAGTAGAAAAAAATCAAATTATAATAATTAGAGGATTAAGTCTTAAATTTTAGCATAATAGAGATAGAAATTATAAATTTATCAGTACATTTTATTAAAAATACTTCTTTAATTTTAAAATTATATAATGTTAGTCTATGTTTATAATAATTATATTTTTATTTTATTGAAATTATTTTGTTAATATGCACAAGTAAAATAACTTAAATGCTGTGTTTTAATGACTAAAAAAAGAAATGAACTAAACTTTGGGTATCATTCAAGCTGCAAAGTACCAATATTAGTATGATTAATTTATTTAGGTTAGGTAAACTGTCAAATCCTTATTTAATGTTATATTATGTTTATTATATTATTTAAAATTTGACTAAATTGAACTTATTGAATGATTTTTGTAATTCAAGAGAGTGTTGTTTTTTTTTGAGGTTTTGGGTTCAAGTAATTGTGTTTGTTGTGTTGTCAATGATTAAAAAAAGATTATGAGCAAACATTATCTTATAATAATCCTGACTATTCACAAAGATATAATTAAATTAATAAAATTTGTAAAATTTATGGATTAGACACGTGATTATATCAATCAGAAAGTTGACACATTAGCTCTTCCATTATTAGTTTGACGAATAATGACTAAATTGTAATTAAAAGGTACCATTATTGATTAAATTTATATTTTTTTTCAATTCAGGGATCAAAATAGCACAAACTCACTAATTTAGTGACTAATGGAGTAACTTACCCTATAATTAATAGTGTCTGGCTTTTAACGATTGGTGAGTTTGTGAAAAAGAAGAAAAAACACTTTTTCCTTTATTCGAAAAAGGAAATAACTTTTACTACTAAAAACAAAGGGGAATTAGTTGGACACAGAGAGTGCCTGAGTTTTAAGCAGACGAATTATATAACTCGGAAAGTGAGTGAGTGAGTCGACAAATGTGATGAAACTGGGTTAACTTTTAGGTGAAGTCGATGTTTTTTTAATGTTGTTTTTTAAGCTTTAAAATCAATATATGTCTAGGAGAAAAAAACCAGTGGGAAGCAGAAGAGAAAGGAAAGACCCAGATCTGAAAGTTCTCTCCTTTTTTTTCTGTGTTGAATTTTGAACGAGTAGGATTATACTTCATATATGTGTGTATGTATGTACTGTATACACTTAGAAATTTCAAAAAGGAAAACCCAAGTCTCTCACTCAAACTGAAACTCAACATCATTATATGATCTGACCCTTTATCCAAAATGCCGCGCCCTTTTTTCCATAAGCTTATTCTCTCCACCACCCTTCACGAAAAGAAACTGGTAAAATACTAAACCCCCATTCTTTTTTCTCTTACTCTACTCTTCTTATCGCTCTATAATCTTTGTTTTTGTTACGTTACTTAATCTGGTTTCTCATATATTGTTGTTGGCAAAAAAAAAAAAAGGTAGATAACTCCCCTTTTGAGGGGTAATTTAGCATTTGAGGAAGAACTTTTTCTGTGGGATAAAGTTTAGTCTTGGAAAATTAAAGGATGATGAAGATTAGTAACTTTTGTTATTTTTTCTTTCCCTTCCAGTTTTTGGTTTGTGGGTTTTTTCTTTCTTTCTTCTTTTGTGGTTTGAACTTTGAAGTGTGTTTTTGAGATAAGATTTGAAGGTTAAGACATGATGAAACTGTATAAAAAAAATTATAGAGACTTGAAGAAATTAGTTTAAGTTTTGATCGCTAGTGTGATATGATTTTGATCAAATAATTCTTGAAGTTTGTTTGCCTACTGGATGAACTAGGTAAAGTAAACCCAAAATCTCAAATTTCACTTAAAGTTATTTTATCAATGTTTTTTTAGATCAATTGTTCATACATGATATGCGTGTGTTACTTCATTTTAGTATATGCATGATATGAATGTGCTAGTATTTTACTTTGGAGTGTAAAGTTTGTTGCTGAACTCGATTTGCCCCAACTTTTCACTCATTTGAAATGGTGTGATAATTATTTTTTTACATATTTTCATTGGGTTATAAATGAAGAAAATTCGAATGGTGTAATTTTCATTACTTTCTGTGTATCATTTCAGCTTACCTCCCGTTATCTCGCCTGTATGTGAGTGAAAGCTTATTAGTTTTTATACTTGGACTTAATCTGGTCCGCCTGGTTTTAAGTTGGTAGTTTTTATGCATTTGCTTTGATCTTCCTGTATGCGTTGTGGGGAGTAAGGAATACACAGCTAGTCCATATAATGGTAAAATAAAGTTCTATATTTCCCGGATTTGTTGGATTTAATAGAGTACCTTAGGCCGATACACTCTTGTTTGTTTTTTCTCGAGTAAAAGAAAAACATTTGAAAGACTATCAAAATCTATTGGAACCAGAAAAGTAGAAGTGCAACAAGATCTATATAGATTAATACATATTCTAGGAAGGATCTCGTACGATATCGCTGTATTACTTAGGTATCTTTCAGATAAAGAAACAAACTTTATAGAAGGTAATTTGTACTAAATTTGAAAATTGCACGATGGTTCAAGCTGTGTTATTTATTTCAATCTTCATCATTGGTGTATATTACTTGGACAAGGAATCTTTTGACCGTCATCTATTTGTTTGGCATCTCTCTTTGTGTTATACTGCTAGCGAGTTTCGTCAAATAGGACATCGAATGACATGGCTATTTCAGTGTTTTATGAGCAAGAGAAGAAAGTTCATCTACTTCTTAATTTAATATTTCAGTGTTTTATGAGCAAGAGAAGAAAGTTCATCTACGTCTTAATTTAATATTTTCCCTTTTCTTGACGTTTGGTCATTTGAAAAAGTATATATATGGATTTCACTTTTAATTATGATTATGGTGTTATGATGCATATTTTTTCTTTGAAATGATCCAAACTTCTCATGTTGATGCTAGTATTACTTTAGGTACGAGGACGGATTAGTAGTTTTCTTCGCCCGGCATGAGGTTTAAGCTCACAATGTTATGAAAGTTCATCTGCAAATTATTCACTAAAACCATCTGAATGCCGGTTCTAGTATTCATCAGATAAATAAGCCTAACTTGATTTGGGGTGTCTGCAGAGGATCCCTGATAACTTTGTTAAGAAATTCAGGGATGAGCTTTCTGTTGCTGCCGCTCTCACTGTCCCTGACGGTCATGTTTGGCGTGTAGGCATAAAGAAAGCCAACAACAAGGTTTGGTTTCAGGAAGGTTGGCAGGAATTCCTAGAGCGTTACTACATCCGTGTTGGCTACGTTTTGGTTTTCAGATACGAAGGAAATTCTGCTTTCAGTGTCAGTGTATTTAATTTGTACAACTCGGAAATAAACTATCAGACTAACGCCCTTGTTGGTGCTCAATACAATCACGGAAAACAATATCCATTTGAACAACTTGAAGATGATGAATGCGTCTCTCCAGCACTGCAGAATTTGTTTGGTGGGTCTAAACTTAACAACTGCATAAACTGGGGTGGTGACGTTAACCTTCAAACTTCAAAGAGAGTGAATAATCAAGCTATTCGAGGTATGGCTTTTCATTTAGTGCTTTTGAACTTAAAAAGATTCTGCTGATGAAGTGAAACTGCATACTTCAGGTGCAATGCCACCTGAACAGAAAAAGCGCGGGAGGAAGCGGCAGGTTGATCCTAGTAAGTCCTCTTAGCTAAGGCTTATATGTTTTGTTTTGTTTTTAATTATTTTAAGGAGCTGCAATTTCTGATCGGTTGCCAAATGAATGTAGACATACAGGAGCCATCTGCTGGAAATGTAGATGAGGTTGATATGCGCTTTCGATCTTATGAAAGTGCTTCAGCCCGAAAGAGAACCTTGACAGCTGAAGAAAGAGAGAGAGCAATTAATGCAGCCAAAGCATTTGAGCCAACTAACCCCTTCTGCAGGGTTGTCCTGCGACCATCATATTTATACAGGGGATGTATTATGGTGAGAACTGAATATGATGTGTTGTTCATGTCTTTTCCGGCTTTCCTTAAAGTGCATTTCGACTTTTTCTCTCACAGTACTTACCATCATGCTTTGCTGAGAAACATCTAAACGGGGTTTCGGGATCCATTAAACTTCAGCTTCCTGATGGGAGACAGTGGTCAGTACGATGTCTTTATAAAGGAGGCAAGGCTAAGTTCAGTCGAGGATGGTATGAATTCACACAGGAGAATAACTTGGGAGAAGGGGATGTCTGTGTCTTTGAAGTGCTGAGAGCGAGGGAAATTGTGCTCAAAGTGACTGTATTTCGTGTAATGGAAAGCGCTGGACTAATGCATCGGTCTCACTAAAATGCCGCCGGAGTTCTAAAGTTTAAATCAACCTAGATTATAGACAACCGGAAATCTCTGAAATGACAGAACTCTGTTAAGTAACCCTTTTCTGGCTTCACTAGGGTTGTAAATAAATTTATCCAATGTAGTCAGTCCACTTTGAACCGGGTCCTTACACTTGATTTTTATGGTCTGTTTGATTGGTTTGAAATCGAATTTTTATCCTTCACTACTCGGCTTGAATTCCTCATGTTCTTTCATGCTGTATTCTTGAATTCTTCTTGTACTAAAGGGTATCATGTGTTTTTTAAATAGTTTAGTATGATTATAAGATAACGTCTGTTTATAATCTTTCTTAATCTATTGATATAGCGCGCACATTTTACGGTCGTAGTTGTTCGAACTCATAACTTATAGGGAGAACAACATTCTCTTTAATCATTGATGTCACTTGATGGGTTCAAAAGGTATCATGTTTGTCGTATTTGAAATTATTTATGTTGTATTTTAATATGGTGTCCAAATTCTTTAAAATTTAAACCCAATTGAGTCTTCCGAGTCTTCTTTGCAACTGATCTTAAGGGCATTGACTAAAAGCATTTCAACATTTTGATTCTAACTGACAATGCCACAGATATAAAGTTAGAAAATCCTGCTCGATTTTAATGTGATTGATTGTGGTTGGACCCCACAAAGAGTTGGTCCGAGAAAAAAGAGAGCAATTTTATTGCCCAACGCACAGCATAGAATATATCAAAGGAATGTAAAATTTCTTCACCGATGTCTTTTTGAGTGGACGATGGTCATACTTAAACTTACAATATTTGACCTCCAAAACTTGACTATTGATTTAATGAAAGTGACGATGAAATACAGTATAAAAATAACTTTAAATTTTAAAAATTTATTAAATTTATCTTAATTTAATGAATATTTAATATTTAAAATCATATCAATCTATTCTAATATAAAATCCTAAAATAAATTTCAAAGTCTTGGTTTTCCTAACACCTATTCTCCAACATCGTTGTCGCCCATTCGCTCAATCACCGTTGTCTCTCTACGCCGACCGCTTGGGTGTAAATGAACAGAACGGTCGATGGTTGTTCGTTAACCGTTTCATACTTTATATATCATTTGTTTATATTTGTTTATTAAGTTAAATAAACGAGTATAAATAATTTTTTATATGCATTTAATACACAATGAACACGAACAAAGACATGTTCGGTTCGTTTATGTTCACGAACAAGCTTGGTTATATTGACTTGTCTATAAGTTTGTTTATCGACTCACTTATAAGCTCATTTATCCGATTCTCCTTTTCCTTTTATCGTTTTACATTTTAAATGATGGTGAAGATAGAAACTAAACACAAGGTGGACTTTAGAGTTTAAACTATGAGGCATAAGGAGCTAAAAGACTAGTGACATAATTTCACCATATTTTAACATATAATCGAATATGTTAGAAAAAACTAAACGAACATATTTTGAAACATATGCGATTTAAAAAGTAAACAAACGAACACAAACATAACCTTATTCGTTTAAACTTAGTTCATTTACATCCTTACCGACCGCAGATCCCTCGTCGAGCCCTTACGTCGGCACTTCATTGATATTACACTAAGTTTATGAGACAGAATTCATAGCTTCACACTTCACGGGATTGTATATCTACATGCATGTACCAGATTTGCCAACATGGGCTCATGGCCTTTATCTTTTATATTTTGCTCTTCAAGAACAGGCTAGCTAGTTTAATACAAACCAGTTTTTGTTAAAAGTCATTTTCCACATCAGGATGAAACAATCCATGTGCTTAACTGAACATCCATCAGTTGCTTCAGGCCTTCAGCCATCTATCTTCTGCATTATGCTACCAATTTCTTAGAGTTTTGCTCATACCGTATAAAATTGGTGCTGTAAACGAATACAATGTTACATAAATTATTCGTATATTATTTATTTGTTAAATTAGTTAAGTAATTTTACATCAATCAAACGACTTCATTGAGGTTTGAATTTGAATATCGTGTACGTAGGGGTGTTTGTGGATATTAAATGAATATATTCACGAATATTGAATAATGAACCTGTATATACGTAATTTTTTAAATAAACAAACATGGAAAAAAATCCGAAAGCAGAAATGAATTGCTGGATTTTGTTGGAAGGAAATAATATGTTTGGCGAGGGAAATACGCGTGGAATTATAAATGCAAACATTGAACAAATCAGAAATCAGAAATATTAGCCGTTCTTTGCACCCAAATTTGGCAAAATCCAAGAAAAAACTCACCTCGCCGCATTAATTACAATTTATTTCCCTAATCTGCTCTCAAAGCAACAAAAATAACAAATCCTACATCACTAAAACAGTCAAACCATTCCTCCATTTTCTGTTTCACATTTATACACAAACACCCAAACTGAGAAGAAAGCCATGAAAATGAATCCTTTTTACTTTGTTGTTCAAAGATCATCGCATATTCTCTTCTCTTTCATCTTCCTCTGCTTTCTTTTCAGCTCCATTTCACCTTCATGTAAGTATGCACAATTTCTCTTAATGGCTCCAATCTATTATCAATTATTTTTCTCTGGTTCAGTGAGTTGATTCTTTTTGTTATTAATAAACATGCAGTTGGATATGATCCTTTGGATCCCTACGGAAACATAACACTCAAATGGGATCTTTTGACATCAGATACAGCCTCTAATTATGTTAGTTCCTTCTTCTTTTTTAATTTGGGGTTTAGGAAGAAACGATGAATGAAAAATCGCATCTTTTTTGAAGTTTGAAACAACTTTTTATGCATGTTCTGTGTTCACTGTGCTTTTTCTTTCTTTCTTTCTGAGTTGTAAAGAATGTCCATTTGTTTGTCTCTTGGCTTGTGTTTCCGGGGGCAATTGAGTCCACGAACTGTAGGCTTGTCGAACCAATTGTTGCCTACCACGTCATCCTTCTTAGGGGTATTTCCGTCTTTGTGAAGAGGAGAATGATGTTTCTCGCTGGTCAGAAACATAAGATCAGAACAAACAAAAAAACTATAACCGAAGATACCTATAGCTTATCCCTTCACGTTTGCTATAAAATTAGTAAAGATATAAACATCCAAATGGTGATACCTTGAGGATTTGGATTCGAGTAGCCGTATTTGTCTGGTGTATGTACCTTATTAATAAGATAAAAAAAATTATGAACATATATTATTTTCTAATCACTCCAAATTATTCAAAACAAATGACCATAACTTTGATCTTTAAAAATATTCAAATTCTATTATTAGTCATTGTACTCTGTTGTATAAATTAGAGTTTATGGACTAAATCTACAACTTCGGTATACTGATGAATTAAAAAGATGTTTAATTGTTGCTTAACTTGCAGGTGAGGGTATCGATGCTTAATTTCCAAAAATATCGACATATAGAGCAGCCTGGGTGGAAACTAGGGTGGGATTGGAAAGGTGATGAGGCTATTTGGAACATGCTAGGTGCCGAGGCTACCGAGCAAGGAAACTGCTCCAGGTTCAAAGGTGGCCAATTGCCTCATTGTTGTGAAAGAACCCCTTCAATTGTTGACCTTTTACCTGGTACCCCATATAACATGCAAACCACTAATTGTTGCAAAGGAGGTGTCCTATCATCCATGATCCAAGACCCCTCTAAATACGGTTCCGTCTTCGAGATGACTGTATCCTCAGCCACCAAAGCCGGCTTCAATATGCCGGAAAATTTCACCATCGGAGTTCAAGGCTATACCTGTGGGGATGCGGTTCCGGTTGCACCGAGTAAGTATAGTTTGGATGGTCGTCGGTGGACACAAGCTCTTGGTAAGTATAGTTCAAATGTTGGTCGTAGGTTGTTTTGGCCATGTTTTTTTCTCTAGGATTGAACCGAAACTCACGTTGTATGTATGTATGTTGCAGGGACATGGAATGTGACATGTATGTACTCCCAATTTCTGGCATCAACTACTCCAAAGTGCTGTGTATCGTTATCTGCATTCTACAATAGCACCATAGTTCCTTGTCCCAAGTGCAGCTGCAGCTGCCAAGGATTACCTGGAGCAAAATGTTTAAAGTAAACCCTCCTCCTTACATGCATACATACATAACAAGTTCATAGGTTCTGACGATTTCCTTTGAACAGTTCCGGTGAAACACCGTCATTGTTGCGGGAAATAAAAGATAAGAACCGAGAGCCGCCGTCTTTAGTGAGGTGCTCGGAACATATGTGTCCGATATGGATTCATTGGCACGTGAAACAAAGTTACACAAGCTATTGGAGGGTGAAGATAACCGTGCATAACCAGAATATCGTGAAGAATTATAGTGAGTGGAACTTGGTCGCATTGCACCCCAATCTGAAAAGCGTGGTACAAGTTTTCAGCTTCAACTACGAGCCACTTAGCCAGTATGAGTTTATCAGTAAGTTATCAAAGTATTTTGCTCACCTACTTCTTTGTGAATTGAAAAGATTAATGCACAAATTACCCATATATTACATGTTAAAACGAAATATAAACTACATATTGTTATACCTATAGAGACTTCCTTCTCGGAAACTGTAAAAATCCTTCCATTAGAAATCACTAACACTCTCTCAAATCAACTACAGTGTGTAAATAAGACCCTACAAAAAAAAAACCACTTACAAGCTTGAACAAGCTTCGGGTGTGAAAATTAAATAATTTGAGTAGCATATCTTAGCCTATCATCCCACAAATAGCCGTAATGACCCTATATCTAACATCACCGGACAAGATCACTATAAAAAATCCTCCTCAATTATGAGAAGAGAGAGACATCATCTTCTTATTCTTCTTCTCTCAATTATCTTACACATAAAAACATATGGGCCCACGGCCGTGGCTCTCGGCTAAACCAGAAGGGTGTGAACAAGTCATGGCTGATCCCTTTTGTTGCCATCAACACATATTAACCAAAAATATGATGTATTTGGTGCAGATGATACAGGTATGTTCTGGGGGATTAAGTTCTACAATGACATGCTGCTTCAGGAAGGTGCTGGTGGGAATGTACAAACAGAAATGTTGCTGCAGAAAGATCCAGGGATGTTCACTTTCAGGGAAGGATGGGGTTTCCCTAGAAGGATACTTTTCAATGGTGATGAATGCGTCATGCCCCCACCTGATCAGTACCCAAGGTTGCCTAACATTGGACAACATGATGCTAAATTCAGCATTGTTGCTATCTTTTTCTCTTTGTTGCTGATGATGTTATGTGCTTGAAAAATGAGAATTGTATGAGAGAGCATTGTAGGCTTTTCAGGTTCCCAATTGTACAAAACCCATTTTCTTTGCTCAGCTAAATCTTGTTACAAACTAATGAATTTGAGAACCTCCTACTCGGTTTTGGGATTCTGAGTTTGGTAATTTCAGTTAGATCGGAGAAAGATACTCTAAAAACCAATTAGGATTTGCCTTCGTATACTCATTTTGGTTAATTCAAGATGCAAGAGTAAGCTACACTCACTTAAACTCGGACATGCATATTGTTTAAGTGAGTGTAGCTTTTAAAACCATATGCAAATCCTTTGAGAAGCCATTACATGCATATGGTTTTAAAATCATATACCATTACATTTATTGCCTTCGTATACTCTAAAAATGCTTTGAGAAACCACATAAACTCAACATTCAAAATAAATACTCATCGTATAGTCTCATTATTTGTTTCAATTGACTTTAAAACCATATACATTATACCAATTGCGTTTTCGTATGCTATAACGTGACATGCATATGGTTTTAAAATCATATACCATTACATTTATTTACAAACCAATTGCACATAAACATATATAACAAAGGTTCCATAAAATGATTTACGGACATGTTGCTGCTATAAAAAAAATAGAAAACATAATTTTTATTACGTTGCTCTTCTGAGATTTGATGAAATCTCGGAGTAAACTAACTCCTAATTATCTAACCTAAGTACAAAAACACGACACGTTGAGCCTCAAACTCAATAATATCCCTAAGAAAACATATATCAAAGCGTCCGTATAGGGATGGCAAACGGGCGGGTCGGGTGCGGATACTCCCTTCCCATCCCCGTACCCACCTAATATTTTTTAATCTACCACCAGTCCACCACTCATGATTGGTAAAAAATTTCAAATCCACAACCGCCCACGTGGTTATATTCTCAAATACATCACCACACCCGCTACCCAACTGAAGACGTACCCGGCTAGACCCGCCTGACAGCTAGGGGTTTGCAAAAAAATACGATCCGACCGATCCGATCTGTCTATCCGATCCAAAAATTCGTATATCCGATCCGTTTTTCAATTTTTGGATAGTTCGGATCGGGTATCCGAAATTTTTTCCGTATTATCTGATCGGATACGGATCGATAAAAAACCATGTTCGGATTATCCGAAAACCCGAAAAAAATTTGGGCTAAATTCGAAGACCAGAGGAGGTTTTCACATAAGGCGTGGGCATAACTTATTCATCCTGAGCTATCGCATAAGAAGTCTGCAGTTAAGGCGTGGGCATGCCTTACCAGTTCGTATAACCCTAAATTAGGGTTATAAATTTACAAGGAAAAAAGAATTTAATGACAGTTGAAAAACTCTATTGAATCATTCTTATCTTTAAAAAATGATGAGGGTAATCAAAATCCCTATTTTGGTGGGATTTACTTTGGGGACACTTCCTTATCTAGAAAAGGACAATCCTTATATAGCCCGATGTTTGGATCTTTACCTTTGCATTATCCCAATCCAGAAAAAAATATCAAATCTAAGTTTTATTGGTTTTGGGCTTTTTTTCAAGATATTTTTGTTTTTCAATGCATGATTATACAAATTATAATGCATAAATTATTCATAATTTTCAAAATCAGCAGAATGTATGAATGCACTTAAATTCAGAAGAATATCAAAATCGATAATTAAATATACGTACATATAACGTATTTCTTAAAAATCAAAATCAATATACGAATACTCTTAGATTCAGCAGAATATCAAAATCAAAATAACAGAGTATTGACTATTGACATTGTGTCTTGAACAGAACTAAGAGGATTAGATTTGAAAACCGGAGTATTCACATTACGACAAATTAAAGCGGCCACAAACAATTTTGATGCAGCAAACAAGATTGGGGAAGGTGGTTTTGAATCTGTGTATAAGGTGACATATAACTCTACTACCCGCAGAAGAGACCAGAGTAAATAAGAGGAAGAAGGCGTACCTGAATGAGTTGGAGACCAGAGTTTCAAACTAAGAGAAGAAGAACTACCAGAATATCGACGCAGTAACCAACAAGCAAAGCACGAGACGGTCCGTAGGTTTGTCCCTTGAGGACTCGGGTTTGAATAATTGTATAAATAGGGTGGGTACACTATCAATAGGCTAAGAAAATTATGAATAAATATTACTTTGTAACCACCTCAAATTACTAAAAAAATGTTTTGAGAAGCCATAAACTCAAAAATAAATATTCATCATATAGTCTCTTTATTTGTTTCAATTGATTTTCTTAACGGTATAAGCTCTCTAATAAGTATATGGATAAACTATAAACAATATGATATATTATTTTTATGAGTAACTAAATATATCTAACAAAATTTAATGACATACGAGATCACTTTTTACCAACATATTTATAAATCAAAATAATTAGTATATTTGTCATATTTATACGACCTTAAAGGTGTGTTTGATTGAGGGAATGTGAGATTCTCATGGGAATAAAATCCACATTTCCCCGTTTGGTTGGTCGGGAATTTCATTCCCGGTAATCTTACATTACCAATAGTGGATTTTTTGGGGTATATTACTGGGAATGTCATTACCTCCCTTTCCTTAGGTATTATTGGATTACCGGCGTTTTGGACTAAAATGCCATATAAAAAAAATTCTTTCAAAAATATACTTCTGTCATTGAATAGTAAAAATTCTACGAAGGTTAAATTACAAATTTATCCTTAAACTATTTTAGATTTATAAAAAAAATCTATAATTAAAATTTTATATGAAGTTCAGGGGTTAAAATAAAATTTTTCCCTTTCATTAAACCTTTTTATATTTTCAATTTTATAAAAAAATTATATAAATTTTATGAATTTAAATTTTTTAAAGAAAATATATAAATATTTTTCAACTTGTTAAAAAAGCAAATATATAATAAGGACAATTTGGTCAAATATACATTCCAATAATCTTTTATTCTTTTAACCAAACACGGTAATCTTACATTCTTGCTAAACCAACCAAACACAAAATACAACATTCCCAGTAATCTTATTCCCTGATAATCTTTTATTTCCTGGTAATCTTTTATTACCACTAGTAATCTTACATTTCGTGAACCAAATGCACCCTAAAGGAAATCATCAATCTCATTTAACCATATTACATGGGAATATATCCGATATAACTAATAATTGTAGTATTTGCACAAATCAACTTACTTCAGTGATTAAATGAATAATTGTTGTTCTTTTAGGTCATGGGTTTGAACACCAGCTATGCAAAGGTGATTGAGCGGTCATTGTCAAATGAATAAAAATATTTAGAATAGATACTACTTTAAATACTTTAAAAATACACATATAAACCTCTAAATGCTTTAAAAAAATATGAAAGATGTTTTATCAATATGAAAATCTTATCTCTTTTTTCTTAAATCTAAAATTCTAATTTATCCTTGATTCCACATATAGTTAGATTAACTTCAAAAATGGGAAAAAAATCAATTTATATTGATTAAAAACTTACCTCTTTTTGGAGCAAAATTATGAAAAGATCCATTTTTCCCAAACTCAAGCTTTCCTCACATTTTGAAGAAGATGAAGGGACGAAGAGGATGATAGAATTTAATTTCATATTTTTTATATAAAATCAAATAAAATTTAGTAAATTATTAAAATCTCTGACTTTGCTTAAAAAATATAATATCTCGTGCCACTAGGCTAACTAGTTGTTGGTAAAAATAATATTATTTCTCATCACATATATATATATGGGATAAATTCACTGGGAGAAAAAGGAGTTGATCTCATACTTTAATTTTTCTTTATCCAAAGGTCCTAAAAGATTGTAAAATTAAAAGTTATGCACTATGTGTAAGTAGATCCTAACTTTTATATTTATATACATATATATATATATATATATATATATATATATATATATATATATATATATATATATATATATTAATTCTAAATTTAATATTTATTTGAGAACCATTTCCTTTATGTTTCTCATTAAATAAAAACTTTTGAGATTTTTTTATTTTGATCCCTGAACTTTTCTTTATTAACAAAAATTACTTAAATCGTCCCAAATCATAAAAAATCATACCTATCATTCAGATTTGAATCAACCATTTTCATTCTATTACCTTTTTACCCTAATTTAATCATTTATGAATTTATACCTAAAACTTTTATCTTTACAATTTAATTCTAATTCAGCAAAAATTTTCTTTTCAAAAAAGCTGCAATAACTTTGTTTTAGTCACATTGTTAATTCCTTAATATAATATTGGGCTGAAAATCAATATTTAATGATTAACCACTTTTAAGGCATTAAAACAGTAATCCATAGACTAGAGCAGTAATGCCAACGAGAGGGGAAGGGAGAAAACGAAAGGGCTGAACGGCATCACGCAACGTAATCCCTAAATTTATTATAATTATTTAAAAATTTTGATATGATTATAAGATAATATATTAAAAAAAAAGTCTATTAACAACACATTCAATTGTTTAAACTCAAACCATCGAAAGAGAATAACATTCTCTTATTAACAAATTTTATTCTTTAAAATGTTAGAGATATTTTTATTATCAAATAAGAAACAATAATTACCATAGAGAGAATAGACTTTTATTCTAACTAATAATGTAATATTTCAACTGGTTTAATATTAAAAAATCATTTATAGCTACCCAAAAAGTAAAGGCATTACAATTGGAAATCTAAGGTAAAGCCCCTCCCAAGGGTTTACCTTGTTAGATAAACCGTTTTAATTCACCAACTCACTCTGTATATCAACATAACTCCTATCTTCTATCCCAAACGTATTTTTTATATCTTTATAAAAAAAACTATTCCATGCCAATGGAGTGGAATTAAAAAAAAAAGCACCACCGAGATATCCAATAATAATCTTATAACTGAATTTGACAACTAGAAGGGTAATTTGCAGATGTGATCGTCGGTTAACGTCCTTACAGCTCAATAATGGTTGTGGGGCAAGGGGTGACCACTTGGCCAGCCTAGTTGCACTAGTACCTCTATTTCCTTTCTTTCA